TTGCTGCGGCCGCATCCCAAGGTCCGATTCTGCGTCTTCTCTTCGAGCAGTTTCCAGCGCTGGCCACACCCAAGATGATGGACCTTGTCGCCATGTCAGGTGACCTCGAGCTTTTGATGTGGCTCCATGAAGCGGGTGCTATATGCTCCACCGCCGCAATGGACGGCGCGGCAATGAACGGCCACTATGACGACGTCCTCTTTCTGCACTCTGCAAGGACCGAGGGCTGCACGATCGCGGCGGCAACGGCAGCAGCCGTCAATGGTGACGCGTCGATCGTTCGCTTTCTTCTCGAGCAGCGCACCGAAGGCGTCGACCCATCGCTCTGGTTTAAACCCCCGCATCGCGAGCACTTGACGCACAGTGTACGTGGTGAGACGTACATTGAGGCCGTCGACCTCGTTGCAGCGACCGTCGAGTTGACGGACCGGGCATTCAAAACGATTGTGGACAAGCGTGGCCTTGTGGTCCTTCAACTCGTCTATTCGCGTGGGTACCTAAAGAAGATGACCAAGCCGTTGCTGGAGCTGGCCGTCGCCAAGCAAGACCACGCAATGCTGCGCTATGTCCCGCTGGAGCTCTTGCACAAGAGCCGCCTGCGCGTCGGGTCGGAGCGAGCAATCGTCTACGCGGCCTACCGCAGTCACATGCACGTGCTCGACTGGCTGCATACGAACCGACGCGATGGCTGTGACCAAGACGCGATGGCGCTCGCTGTCGCTACGGGCCGTCTTGACGTTGTGCGCTGGCTCCACGAGGTTTACGGTCTATGGCGAACCCACGCTGCCTTGGCCACAGCAGCCTACATTGGCCACATGACAATGGTGACATACCTCTTGGACATACCGACGGGTGGTGTCGATTGTTGGACTGACCAAGTTGACAGCAACAGTAACATGGGCGAAATGCTGCCACCGCACGATGACCATCTTGGCAGCCCACATGTCGACTACGTAGCAGGGTCGCCGACGTACTGGGCGGCGAGCCAAGGCCATCTCGAGATCCTTCAGCTGCTCGTCGCTCGCGACTATGAATTGCCGCTGGATGCCATTGAGAAAGCCGTCGCGAACGGTCACCTGTACGTTGTGCGCTACCTCCACGAAGGGTTCAGTCAGCGCTGCAACTACCAACACGTGCTGGTCGCTGTTCAGCAGCGCCATGTCGACACCGTCGCGTACGTCCTATCAAATGGCTCTTGGCAACTTGATGACGATCTCTCAAACGACGAGATCGCAAGTGAAGTAGCGTTGCACATGCTGCTCGTGGCCACTGCACGCAGTGGTAGCCTCGACATTTTGGCGCTTGTCCACGCTGCTTTTCCGATACCAACGACGCTACCCGCTCGCGTCTCGGAGCGCATGATGATCCGCGCTGCGTCCTACGGCCACCTCGACATGCTCCGACATTTGCACGACGTCTATGGCTTTGGATGGACTCCAATGGTTGAAGAAGCAGCGAGACGTCGCGGTCGCAAGAATGTACTGCGCTACTTGCAAACACTTGGGCCTGCGAACACCTCCGTCGACACTCAAGATTGGTGGAATGACGGTATCGACGCGTGCTTTCCCAAAGCTATGGTCGACGGCGTGATGCGCGTGCGGTCTCTCTAACCACCTCGCAATCTAGTTCGAGATACGAGTCTTTGATACGTATATACATGTAGGAACATGCTAGGCGTTAACTCACAAAGACACGACGTCGTGAGTCCCTTTATGGCTGCAAGCACGCGCGACGTCTCCTAGAAGGAAGTTTTGGCGGCTAGCCACGAGTTGCAAGTCGTCCAGTGGCCATGACAAGGCGTACCAAAGGCTTCAACGGCCTTGGTCGATCAAAGCCCACTTGCCGCTGACAGTGCACGAGGCCATTTTCTGTGAGTTGGCTGGATGGAAACAAAGCGACGTACCCAGCACGATCGGGCCGAGCGCGCCAGAGCTGTGGATCCGTGAGAAGCGCCAACCCATCTTTCACACTAAATGCATGTCCTGGGCGAACGGACCTCGAAACGTCTAGATATAGTGTATGTTGAAGCTGCCGCCATTTCGACTCTTCAACACACAATTGCTACACAACACACGACATAAACCTTGGTACCCTCCTACCCCTTTTCTTCCATCCTTCACCTGTAAGTTATGACCACTAGATTATGAGCTTTAGCTTCACCACGAAAGAACGTTGGTGCAACCTTTGGGCTTTTCAAGCGCAGGCAGTATCTCGGTCGTCTTGCTCGTTGTTGTGAACTGTAGTCTATCAAACAGATCATGGCCAGTCGCTGGACGTTGTTCGTACAATGCGTATCCTCGCAGAGGCGTCATAAGTGTATATGCTGCCACGTTATCCAGGCAAAGCAGCTTCAAATCCAAGCTGCTGGGACGCAACGTATCTGGATAATCACCCCGGGTAACGTTCGGTGCATTTTGAGATTGCCGTTTGCAACGAGAGGACGCATGATGGCGACCTTCCGCAGCGTCGTCATCGGTCAGCCCGATATGGCGGCCATCGTCTTTGGCTACCAGTTCGGCGTCTATGAGGACGTACGCAATGTCTTTGTCGCCTGCAACGAGCTACTCGAGTTTGATGTGCGTCGCCGTTGCTACGACTGGGACGCGTCATTCTCCTCCACGATCGCACCCGGTGCCGCGTGGGCAGGTGAAGGACATCACGATATCCGCACCTCGAAGTATGCTCTCGATGACTCTCCGTGGGACGCTCGCCTGCCGCTGCACGTGGCAATCGTCCATGGCTCTGCGCACGAGGTGAAGCGCATCGTACGGTGCCGGCCCGACCTCGCCTCTGAAGATGCGATTCTCTTGGCCTTCTCACAACATCGCCTCGAGATTGTCGAGCTGCTATTGGACCTACGAGGAGCCATCCCCGAGCTACGTCGATGCTGCAAAGTCACGGCAGGTGTGTTGCATCTTCCTTGGGCTGCGTGGAATGTTACTTTTGATGTAGATGGCTCTGCGCAGCGCACGTCGTACTCGGTAGGAAGTTTGGTGCAGAGTATGCTCACCTATGGCGACACGAAGAGTGTGGTATTGCTACAGCGCTTTGGCCTGCGCCCTGACGATGTGACCTACGGCGACAAGCTCCTCGCGATCCAGTCGTCGACGCTCGAGCACGCAACGCTCGCCCTCGACC